CATTTGATACAATGCCTTATCATGTCTCTGAGTTTGTATCAGCTATGTATATACCGGGGAGGACAGTGAATATTTTAAATGATTTCTAAGACGTCTGTCGTTTTAAACAATTTTTGAAATCAATGGCACTTTTTCCTAGGAAACTGGGATAGGCTGATAAGAATAGGATGTCTCCGGCTGCTGACACATTTCTGCATCAGTTGCATTATTATACTCGCAGGATATAAAACATTAAGCTGGTTGGCTGGTCTGGTGACAGATGGAAACAGGACTGTATCATCCTCTCTGTGAAGCAGACAGCCTGGACATGAACATTGAGAGGCTGTCCTGCAGTTATATCTAATTAGATATCTTAATTAAATCACATGAGTCGAGGGAAACATACTTATTGTTGTTGTTGTCGTACTGTAAAGTGCAGTCACTGAAGGCACTTCGAAGGCCTGATCAAATGCAAGGATTCTTCTAAATTGGCATAACATATTTCCAATTCCCTGGCTGAGGAATCCCAGGCTATTGCCGCATGTCAGACCCATGTGTTTTACTGTCAATGTCAAACAGGAGCAGGTACCATGGTATAGTCTGCAATAGGGTATTTCATTAATCACACTGGCCGTGCTGTAGATAAGACTGCCTGCTGACTGCCAACTCGTGAGCAGTATTGGGCCGTTGGCCAAAATGCCCCTGGACCTGGGGTGAGATTGCCCGCCCGGTGGATTAGCCAACTCAGCACGGAGCAGAAAACAGAACCTGTGGCTGTCCTGCCGATCACTTCTCACCGTCACACTGCAGTGAATTAGCCACTCGCTAAACTATCAGGACACCTTTCACTGCCTTGTATTAAATCAGAGAGTTTGATGGTAAGCAGCACGTTTCAAGAAAATGTGCGACTCCACATTTCAGAAGGAACGGTTTGATTTGATTTCCCAGCAGGAAATGTAGTGCAGTACAATAACACGCTGAGCACCAATTAGAAAAATACAGCAGCGGAAGGTTCTAGAGCTTAGGCTGTACATCACTTTGCAGCCCATCTGGTGAATCTGTACACAGTGATGTATATGTCCTATAATTAGACCTTCCCAGCTTCATCAATGTAACTCGTTGAATAACTCTGGAAATTAAATTGCTGTGGTGAAGTGGGATGTCTGTCACTTATATACGTATGATCCAGAAATTCTCCAGACGAGGCAGGAATGTAATACATTCCCTTGGAATTGACTGACAACTGCATTGAAGGCTGTCGGAAAAAAATCCATTTCTCATTATGCAAAATGTACTGGGTTTATGTGATGCCCTTCTGAGGAGGAGCTTTCATTTTGTTTGGATAAGCGGTAACATTTTTCTGCATCGCCAATTAATTCAGGCATCCAGTTTGTCCAGCATTTCCCCGATGAAGAAATTGCAGCACCCTGTGGCAAATGTTGTGGCAAATATTAGTGGCCTATGCAAAATCAGATTTTTTAAAAAAATAATAATTTGATCACTCAATCCACGACTGTTTGTGGGACGCTGCTGTGCGTAATTTTGCCCACAAAATACACAGTCAATTCACTTTACAGTATATTCTGTGAAGCGCTTTGAGACGTCACAAAGACGTGATAAAGCTCTGTATCAAATGCAAGGATTATTATTATTATTAAAATACAGAGCCACTGTGCTTTATAGTAGTTCCTGTGAAGATGTTGTCCTGATGTGAAAGGCAATGGATCAAACGCAAGGATTATTATCAAGATATCATAGAGGAATAGAAATACAGCAGAGGGTGGGGTGAAGCCATTTGGCAATTGTACATAAAATATTTTGTAATCTTGTGTCGATGATATTTTATTTTAGGTTAGTTTGAGAGGCCGATTATTGTATCAGCTTGATTTTGCCAATACCAGATCTTCATTATATTCAGGCAAAAGCTTGTGATTGGATCTTTCTTGGTGTCATACATTTGTGTAGCATCTGGCATTAATTCAGCACTAACGTTAATGCATACCATGTCCCTGTATGAGAAAGCAGAGATAGGAGCAGATTTCCCCCTGAAGCAGCAGTATACAAAGGAACCATTCCTTGCTCTCGCTATCCCTCTCCCTATGGGATTTCATGCTTATAGAATTTATGGGGGGAGGGAGTTGAGCTGTTTTATGCCCTAAAGCAATGTCACCTCTTTGGAGACACACACACACACAGTCCTTACTATTGAGAAACCACACTGATTTTATAGAATAGCTTTTGATGAGATTCTAGCAGTCGGTGCATGTTTAACTCAATCTCATCGCAATACAGCATTTTTAGGGTGCTACTGAGGTTGCATATATATATATATATAAAAAAACTATTTTGGGGTGTGGTTTTGCCAGTCAAAATAGCATCTTACCCTGATGCAAATCATATAAAATAGGGCTCAGAGACTTGCGTGTCTAGTTTCAGTGAAGCAGCTATTCTCTGGGGTATGGCTGGGATGTGAGGCTGCTTTTGTATTTAATGTGCCGGTTAAGTGGAGACATGCATGAACAAGAGAGATATGAAGATTGCTGTTTTCACAATAATCCTGCTTCATTTACTGTCTTTCCAGACAGATTTAAGACTATTTTATGAAACATGTTATCATGGAAATTAATAATAACATATAATAAATAGGATAATTTAATAATAAATTGGCTGCTATGTTTCGCCCACAAAATATAGTCAATGTGCTTTGTGGTATATTCTGTGAAGCAGTATGGCTGGACTCATTTCAGAAACTACTTGAAGCTGTAATGGGATAAGTAAAGCTAGGGTAAGTATTCTAGAAGAATGAGATCAAATGGTCCTTCCTCATTAGTGTCTCTCTTGTGATCTTCTGAAGTAACGATTTTTAATGTATTTCCAACAGTCCAAAGACCACTCATTCTGTATAACAGTCTCCAGTGAGCAGAAATATACTGCAGCTTCACATAACTTAACATATCGAAGCCTCATACCATTTTGCCCACAAAATACACAGTCAATTCACTTTACAGTACATTCTGTGACATGTTTTGAGAAGTCTCGAAGACGTGATAGGACGCGACATCAAATGCCAGGATTATTATACCAAGGATTTCAGTGCTTCAAACCCCAATGCCCCGAGCACAGTAATATGCCTATTTGTTAAAAATGCAAACATAGAGAATGTTTTCACTCGTCCATTCCAGCAAATGTCTCTGGGACTTCCACATGTAGGTGGGATGTATGGAATTCTCAGCTCGGTTTGGTTACACTTAAGCAATGGTGACGGGTTTCCGTGAGTGTCAGACACCCGGAGGACCAAAAAAAAATCTGTATCCAAAGTGATTTCTGGAAATAAAAGCTGAGCACTACAGCAAGAAGACGATTTAAGGGAGACTAAAGTTTTACTGTTCTGTGGGCCCTTTGGCATTACTCAATACTCAATACTTTAAGCAACTTGATTGGATTTTACTGCAGCCTATTTCTGGAGCACATTATGTGAGTCAGCTGCTGACTGCAGACATAGTCAGTTCACACAATAGTTACCAACTGTGTTTTGTGAACTCTCAGATGCTCTTTGCTCTTTTCCTTCTCAAACGTTCGTCCAAAAAAAAGGTACAGATATGTGAATTTTGCAAATAAATGTCACGAGAGGCTCCAGAGCATATTATTTTTATTACAATATCAGTCACTTTACATAAAATGTAGGGATTTCACAGTGTGGTTTACCCAATGGTGACAAATTACAATGACTGCATTGCCACCTAGTGAACATTAAAGCTGTTACTTCAGAAGTCGTATCAAATCCTTACACTGAGTTTTGAACCGTGCAAGAATAATAGGATAATAATCCTTCCATTTGACAAAGCACCTGATCACATCTTTACGTTTAAAAGCACTTCACAAAATGTACCATAAAGCAAATTGACTGTATACTGATGCCCCTTCTATAGCACTATGTTTACCAATAATTGTCTCTAATATTCAGTAAACCTCACATAATCAGTTGGGACCAGGCATTTATTACGAACTTATGCAAAGTAATGAGTTACGTCAAACTTGAATAGAACATAAACTCCTGAACAGGACTCAGGCAATTATATGATTTATACAGACCAGACTTTTATGTGAGTTTTACAGTATATCAAACACAAGGATTATTATTATAATGATTTAGAATGGGATTGCTTAATAAGGAAATCGGAAGTACATCAGGCTCCAATGTCATCTATTTAAGGAGCTGATTTTCTGCCGGATTGACATGACAAATATCCGGTTAGTTGAATGAGTTCCCATTGGCAATATACTTTATTGTCGACTGAACCTTGCTATAATGAACAGCATAACTCATTCTCAGATATTTATACTGGACTCATTTATATGACTGGAACGAGTTCCCTACAATTGGTCTTATTGACAGTGCATTGTAAAACTTGTGGTTTATTTGGATGCCATATAGATATATAAATATATATAATATATAGATATTATATAGTGGCTCACATTAGGCAGGCCAATTTACTAGGTGAATGTTTTAATGCCCAACTCAAATAAATAAGACAAGGGCCAGCCAGCAGAGAAGAAAACTAAACACAAAGCGTGTCTCTTCACTCATACTTAAAAGAATACAGCTACGCAGTCCTGCGGCCCACAAAGAAACCAAACTGGCTGGAACTGGTCAAGTTTAGGTTTGGGTTTCTCTCACTGAACAGAAGGCAGTAGCAGTAGGTTACCAGCTGTCAATCAAATTAATTATACAGAGGGTTTCCCTGGGTCCTGCCTTAACTAGCTAAACTAACAGAGGTGGTTCTTTTCTTCTTGTCCTACTGTATGTCGTCTCAATCTCCAAAGTACAATGACAGAAATGGGACGATTGATTTGTATTTGGGAACCTAGTTATTTTTTAGTCAGATTCTGAAATTAGGACTTCTTTTAAAACGCAAAGTAGTTTGAATGACAACAGTTTGTGCCATAGTTGGACTAAGTCTGGATATAGAACATAGTGTCTCTTCCTGCTAACATCTGTCTGTGTTTCCCTGCTCTAGGTTCTCTCGCTCGGGGCTGATGTTCTGCCAGAGTATAAACTTCAGACACCTCGCATCCACAAGCTCACCATCCTCCACTACAGTCCTTTCAAGGCTGTGTGGGATTGGCTTATTTTGCTCCTGGTGATTTACACGGCCATCTTCACCCCTTATTCTGCGGCCTTTCTACTCAACGACCGTGAAGAGCAGAAGAGAAGGGAGTGCGGTTACTCCTGCAGCCCCCTCAATGTTGTAGACTTAATTGTGGACATTATGTTCATCATAGACATCCTGATCAACTTCAGAACCACCTATGTCAATCAAAATGAAGAAGTGGTCAGCCACCCTGCAAAGATTGCCATCCATTACTTCAAAGGCTGGTTCCTCATCGACATGGTGGCTGCTATCCCATTCGACCTCCTGATCTTCGGATCCGGGTCAGATGAGGTAAGATTTGAGAATTTAGTTTATTTATTATTTTTATTGCGGTTAAAAATTCCCCTGTGAAACGTCAATTCTAGAAGTACCAAATCAATGCACTGCACCAATGAAGTAAATAATAATGATAATAATCTTTGCCCTTGATATAGAGCCTTATCACGCCTTCGAGGCGTCTCAAAGCGCTTCACAGAATACACTGTAAAGTGAATTGACTGTTTTGTGGACGAAATGCAGCAGCCAATTGCGCACGGAAATATATGGAAAAATGTGCTTACATTAGCTGTAGATAAAAGTGGGATGACTGCATTTGATGGACAGCTTATGAAACCATGATGTCTGCAGTTTGTTTGGACACGCAGGAAAACTGAAGTACAAAGCAAGGATGGAGTGGAATGTGAATTTGAATTCAGGGTCGGTTTGTGTTTGGAGTCCCGGAACATTCATTTATTCATAAAAGCCAAACGCTGATCCTCATAACCCAAATCAATGCATAGATCTACATTGTGAATTCAAGGGAACAAACACACACATCCCTCCTAATTACATACACGCAACAACAACAATTACACTTGTAAAGCAGGGCCACACAGCCCCACGAGACCACCACAATTGGACATATGTTCACCACTGGATATCAATGTATATTTAGCACAAGAGCATTACAATTGTAATGTACTTCTCTCCACAAGATATTCGTTGAGGACTGGAGGGATGTTTCTTACATCTCATTTCTTGACTCCATTCTATCTGAACTATTGCCCTATTTGCATATCTTAAGAAAAATCAAATCGTTTTCAATTTTAAAAATAATTTTGGCCATTTTTTCTTAAAACCGTTGTTTGAGGAAATGGTGGAAAGGAGGGTGAGAGGGAGGGAAGGAGGGAGGGAGGGAGGGAAGGAATTTCCTGCAATTTTTTAATTGGTGGTGATTGTTTGTGGGAATTGTAATGGAGATTCAGTGGGTAAATGTTGGTGTTGTTTGCCTTCTGTGTCAGGACAACTGCAATCTCGTCACGTGGTGGAATCTTCTCAGTTCTGAATGCACAGGAGAACTGGTCACAAAGCTGGGTTTCAGCATCTGTTGCTTTGACAATCAGACCTACCAGCTGTGTTCAGAAAGGGCAGCGATATAAAAATAGCATCACCTGGCAAGAGGACAAAATGGATGTTTACGTAGTCAATAAACATAGCATTTTGCCATCTAAACCTCCAGCGGTTATCATTGTGACATCAATAAAAGTTGACATTTTAATAGATAATAAATATAGATATCCCATAAATTATTATTCATGCCGCATTCATTTGGAGACAACACAGTTCAGGGAATTAATGTTCAGAAATCTTTAAAAAAACGCTACGGGTACACATCTAAATTAAGAGGTGACAAGCAACAGGATGTCAATCATCATCTAAGAGCAAACCGTTTCAATGCTCCTGGTGTGAGAATTATTTTTTAAAAAACTGTGTGACTGAAGGAGCTCTGTGACCCAGCAAGCCAGCGGGAGCCTCGGCTTCTGTACAAAGTTCAAACGTGAGAGCTTGATCATCTCAGCTGAGCCAGTTACCCAAAGCAGTGAGTGGAGATGAGCCATGTACCTGCTGGATAGACAAGAGGGTGAAATGCCATCATCCCTGATAACTCCTCATCCCCACCATCCGTGGCCGTGCGCTTTCAGAGACTAACCCCCCAAACTCTGGAACTCTCTCCATCAATCTCCACCTGTTTCCCCTCTTCCCCATCTTCAGGTCTCACCTGAAGACTTTCCTCTTCAACCGGCCGTGCCTACGGTCACCTTCCGCCTCCCTCCCGGCTCAGTTTTGTGCTCGGCCACTGTCAAGCGCTCTGGGATGCTGCCCTGTGTGAGGGGTTGAGGGGGGGGGGGGGGGGGGGCGCTATTGTTGTGGTTCTTATAAGATGAAAGATTACAATATTCCACTTGACTATTTTAATAGACGACCACACTGATCGGCCTCCTGAAGACCGCTCGCCTGCTACGGCTGGTGAGAGTGGCCCGGAAACTGGACCGATATTCTGAATATGGTGCTGCTGTTCTGATGCTGCTCATGTGTATATTCGCCTTGATTGCTCACTGGTTGGCTTGTATTTGGTATGCAATCGGGAATGTGGAGAGGCCATACTTGCTGCACAAAATAGGCTGGCTGGACTCTCTGGGACAACAGATAGGGAAACGATATAATTACAGCGATGCCAGCTCAGGGCCGTCCATCAAGGATAAATATGTGACTGCGCTGTACTTCACGTTCAGCAGTCTGACAAGTGTTGGCTTTGGCAATGTGTCTCCCAACACCAACTCAGAGAAGATCTTCTCCATCTGCGTCATGCTCATTGGCTGTAAGTGGCTTCCCTTTTTGTGCTCAACAGTCATAATGGATGTCAGTTTGCTGTAATCACCCCAAAATGTCATCAGGCAGGGAATCCAACCCAGGTCCTCGTGCTTGCGAGGCGAGTGCTCCAACCTGGTTTACTCCAAATCCCCCAAGAGTATAGAGGACAGCTCCCTCTACTGTCTATGGTTCCTGAACCAGCTTTGCTAACTTGTATTAGCGTAGCCTTGTCATTTGGATAAATCTACTGAAACCAGCAGGCTATATTAAACGTAGCCAATATATAAATTGGTTGGTGCGACGGAGACAATACTGTTCAATATCACAGGTTAAATATCACAAGGGCAATGAGTTAAAGCCACACAAAATTTAACTTCAATTATCTTTTGCTGCAGGTTTTAATATATAGGGTTAGATTTATGCCTGCGCCAATGTCTTTCGGTCAAACTGATCAATGGGGTGACATTATCCAGATGCTGAGCACCACAAACAGAACTAACTAGGGAACATTTAAGCCTGGATAAGGATTATGTATTTAAGTATGTCAATGGAAAGTGATCTCCTGAATGGCAGTCTGTAATTAAATTTAAGCTATACTAGGCTCAGCTATGCACATACCTGCATTTATTACCCTGCTCTATAGCATTTAGGGTTTGTGAGAAAATGCAGAGTAATGTAAGGGTGTGCTTGAGTGAAATCCATCTATAAGGATTTACAGGATTTAAAACAATCTAATCTCATTAAAGCCTATATAAATATGAGGGGTGAAATCTCACCTTTTTGCTAAGAATAGCAGTATTGATAAAGTGAACTGAAATCTGGTTGATACAAATATGATCTTCCTCCACCAGTAAAACTAGCCTTAAAATAATGTTAAACCATGGTGTTGGAAATATAATAATAATGATAATAATCCTTGCATTGATATAGCGCCTTATCACGTGTTTGAGACGTTTCAAAGCTCTTCACAGAATATACTGCAAAGTGAATTGACTGTATATTTTGTGAAATACGGCAGCCAATTGCGCACAGCAGCGTCCCACAAACAATCGTGGGTTGATTGACCGAATTATTATTATTTATTAATTATATTTTTTATATATATAAATGGTTTAACCTAGACTTTATAATGTTAAAGTTTGAACAATTGTAAAGAGTGCGTAACCGGTCTTATCTGTCTGTCTTCTCCTTGACCAGCGTTAATGTATGCCAGTATCTTTGGTAATGTCTCGGCCATAATTCAGAGACTGTATTCGGGGACAGCGAGATATCACATGCAGATGCTTCGCGTCAAGGAATTCATACGCTTTCACCAGATTCCCAACCCTTTACGCCAGAGACTAGAGGAGTACTTCCAACATGCCTGGACATACACAAATGGCATAGACATGAATATGGTATGTACAAGACATCTGTTAATGGTGATGTTTGTATCAATAAGCAGAATAGTGGTTTGCATTCGCAAAACCTGGAACCACCTTCATTCTCCCTAAAACAAATGTTCCGTTAACAAGAACAAAACAACATTTGTTTTATATAGCGCTTCTCATGCAGGGTAGCGTCCCATAATAGAGGATTAAATAACCACAGCGACACAACTAAGGTAATTGACTCACTCTGCATGTGTTGGTCATAAAGACTGGAATATCTAGGTAGCGCAACTCAATCTGGTATTTACTTATGGAGCCAGAGTTTGTATACTGAGATCCTATGACGTATCTTACATCTTAAAAATACGACAAACGTGAGGCCCAAATAAACACATTTGCGTTTATCACTGTTAAAAAGAGTCCATTATAAATGTACACATACGGATAACATTTGTAACCCCAGCGCCAAACATTAAATGGCGCTTAGCTTTTCATTCGGCATTCACAGCCGTCTTAACTTCTTTGAAAAAATACCATGCGAGTTATCTAAGTGGCAAACCATTCAGCGCACTCAATCATACATCAAGCCTTTCTGAACAGCTCTGACATCTTGGCATAATAACATCAATGCAAATGTCATCAGAAGAATTGAATTGATGTAGAGCAACACTCGAGACATGTTGTCCCTCCTTATTGTTAATATCACAATGCTTGCACTACAATTGTTTTGGCTGCTTTGAGACCTGAACCTGAGTTTACTCATAACACTGTGTTTACTGCGTGGCAGAATTTAAAGGGCTTCTGAATTTTAACTTGGTTATAAAATAAAATCACAATCCCTGCATTTGATACAGCGCCTCATCACGTCTTCGAGACGTCTCAAAAGCGCTTCACAGGATACACTGTAAAGTGTAGCGACTGTGTATTTTGTGGGCAAAACGCAGCTGCCAATTGATTTAAAGAGATTTTGAAAACATTGTTCCACAACAACCAATGAACACAGTCTTGTCTTCCCATTAGTGAAGTTCAGAGGCACAAATACCAAACATAAAACGTCTCCTCTTTGCCTGTGTATTAACACTCTTATTTTTCCTACGTGTATTAATCTGTATTAATCATGTTTCTCTCCTCGCGTCCAAAACAAATGGACCAATATTAGGTTCATTTGTGTAAAGATAAAAGAAAGATGTCATTGAACGTGTCGTTTACATGCTGTACTTATAAAAGCTTATCTCTTCCTTGTCTGCTTCACCACTTAATGCTTGGAATAACCCAACTGCCTCTGGTAAGAACAGGAGGTATATGTAACCTGTCATTGTTGTATACAAGTGTGGAAACTGCCCTCTGTATTTGTTCACTTTACTGACTGAGCTCTTTATTTGGCGCTTTTCTCTCAGTATAATTTTCTGCATGACACAGTACTTGGGTAATGTGAATTACAGAGAAATATGGTAAGATGAACTGTGGGAGAAACGTACACAATGCGACGGTTTAACAGAAAAGAAATTGCAGCTTTTTATGGAACTCGCTGAATAATTAGCTGTAATTTGACCAGCCGCAAAAAAAAAACATGAAACCCACCGTCCACATTACCTCGGTTTTCCTATACTTTCTTATATGCATATGGTTTGTTAGAGTATTGATGCGAATTACGTTGTAAATGTTTCTATTTTCCACTCGATGTGTGTGATTTTCTTCACGTGTTCACGCTTTCAGTTCAAACCGTATGCATGCCAACATCTCAAGGCATTAATAGCACCCGCCTCGGCTCTTAAACCATTGTGTGTACTTGTCAGATCTGCATGCATTTTTTTTTACCCCCCACCCTAAGCAAACTTCTACTGCATGACATTATCAACAGCATTATCATAAGATCTGATAGGCCTCATCATAACAAGAAACCAAAGAGCCAGACATTCAGGGTTTCACGATGGACGCTGCAAAGACAAGTCTCCATATTAGTGAGATGAGCAACATCAAAAATAGTGTCATGTACCATCTCTGCCACAGAGTAGATTGTTTTTTTTTGGAGTCTGACACATGCGGAGGTTGGCTTTCGTAGAAGATAAATTAATAGCTTATCACCTGACCCACACCTTTCTCTGATATCCACTGGTTCCAATGACACTCAAAAGGTAGCGGAAGTGGGAAGTGTGGGTGGGGGGAATAAAATCCTTGTGATGTGTAGGTGTATTGCACTTCCTAACATCGAATGGAAGGATTCATTTCCACCATCAAATCACTACTTCTGTACATCAAGTAGAAAGTCATACCGCAAGCCTCACTTTCACACAATCACATACTTTTTAGGCGAATTAAATTTTCATTAGTTTCACTTTCCAGTGAGTGGAGAGAAAGGATTCCATTCATATCTGTATGCATAACACAAACTCCTTTTGCTTTGAGTTTGACATGATCAGCATGTAATTGTGAAGCACATTATGTGACATATCTTGAAATGCAATACATTACAAAGCTGTCTGTTACTTGATCTTTACAAATGGATTGTATTTCAACCTTGTCTGTAAAAATGTTATGACTGCATCGAGATACAAAATTAAGTTCAGAACAAATTATTATTATTACAGCTTCTGTATCTACAGAAGTTAATTACAGCCACCATCATTTTTGACAATAACTCAATAATATAATCCAGCCCAGATGATATACTGCGGCAGGAATCATCTGATTTATACACAGGTTTGATATTTAAATCAGCCTCAATCTTACTGAATGTGATGATGCTGTAATTTACAAGATTGCTTGCCTGTAAAGCTGAATGTTGTGGGTGGCAATGGATTGCAGTGAAGCAAGACAAGAAAAGTCAATACATTTCAAAGAAAATCTTGTCAGTCCCATGAATGCTTAGCAGAATTAACTTAAACCAAGGGCTGAGATTAGATAGGATACCAGTGTTGTGTTTGATAATTTTGCTTTATTTTACTTCTTCTAAAGGTTGACACAGTGAACAACAGATCAATGTCTCTGACTGGTTGTAATCTGTGCAAGTTATGTGGGAGTCACATTGCTTTTAACTTATGTTGAGTTGATAAACTTTAATGCAGTCATAGTGAGCTAATGATAGCCATTCATTCATACAAGCAAATACTATGTCTGAATGTTGGGGGAATGAATGGTGCCTGAGCAAATTTCTCCCTTTAAAAAAAATGTTGCCATTAACAGGGTGTCTCTAATGAATATGATCTATTCTTGGGTTTGATCAAATGTAAAACGCAATATAATTATGTCTCAGGCTGACTCACGTGCTGATGTTCACATCTAACATAGAAACTCTTTTATGACCTAAAAATAAGAGGAATATCACAGACTATAGGGAGAGATTAAAGAGTTGATGTTGGGTCACACATAAACACGATTGTGGTGCTAAATTTCCTGAATTATAACAGCGGGCAGCAAAGACAAATTCAAAAGGCGTCCAGATAGATTGATGGTGAAAGAAGGGATTGAAGGGAGATAGCAGATTGTAGGTACATTTTGAATCGTGGAGTTGGCCAGATAGGTTGCAAGGATTTTTCCCCAGACCAGACCTGTACAGTCCTATGTTCCCATTGATAACTGATCTCAGTACTAAACTCCAAGTGTAAAGTGTGGTTGTGTAGCAGCAGTATTCTCTTGCATGGCACGTGTTGTTATTTAACTTATTAGTTGCTTTACCCATAGATATCTGTGGCTCCAGGTTAGTCATTTTGTCTTGTTTGTGTTAAACTCTGTTTCTGTGATAAATAATGTACTTTGTGCCATCTAGTGGCTGAGCAAACCTCCAGCACTGGTACTCACTGCGACTGCGCAACTGAACGTGCATTGAAAAAGGAGCGAAATACTTTAGCATTCATTTCACAGTGCGAAAAACATTTAACCTACTTTACGATTTACGACTTTTAAATAGATCAAAATTTCTGATGGAATTTCTCTTTTTTATTATGATTCAAATGTTGCCATGGATCAGTTTTTGTTTTAAAAAAAAATGACGCTATTCCTTCTGTTGGCCAACCGACGTAAGCTATGAAAGTGTGCGTATTAAAAGCTCATCTGTTCACAATTATTATTTTAATGTTCACAGCATTTGAGTTCTAAGAGCTTTATCACCCACTTTACAGCACCAGTAACATTACCTTTGAGGCAATCGACTCTGTTTTTTAAAAAAAATTGAAAGTATTTAATAAGCCATGTAGATCTGAAAATATTTTCAGATATTTCTAGCAAGGCCAACAGAGGGGAGAGTGATTGTTTTACAATTTTTTTGGTAATACACATTAGACCTGCCCAGACAGTTACAATCTGAAGGGCAGACCTGATTCCGCCCTGATGTTTGGAATTTAGAGGTTACCTTTTTGAGGTAAGACCTATTTCCAGCAACAAATGACCAAAATTTCCATAATTCCCATTTGGAATTAAGTGCAGACCATGAAAATACCACCCACAGGATTTCCTGGTCAGCCACGTCAGGAATCCATCCCTCAGCCAAAGATTTATCTTAAGAATGTCATTGTTTCCCCCCCCCCACCCACCCCCATGTTGTGTGATGAACTTAAGACAACGCAGTGAATGATTAGCCGTGTTAGAATTGAAGTCTGTGTCCGTTCTTTGTTGCTGAGATGTATTTTTTTTCACTAGGTCCTCAAGGGTTTTCCTGAATGTCTCCAGGCAGACATCTGTCTCCATCTGAACCAATCATTACTGCAGAACTGCAAAGCATTCAAAGGAGCCAGTAAAGGCTGCCTCCGAGCATTAGCCATGAAGTTTAAAACCACCCACGCTCCCCCAGGTGACACTTTGGTCCACAGTGGCGACATCCTCACTGCTCTCTATTTCATCTCCAGGGGCTCCATTGAAACCCTAAAGGACAACATCGTGGTAGCCATCCTCGGTAAGTGGATAGGAACCAACTCATGAAATCAATATTATAATCAATATCACCAGAAAATAAAAAGCTAGTGATGGAACTGGCTTGAGTTTGCGTTGTCCGACTTAGGTGATATGAAGTATTGACGATCGAAATATGTCTCTAAAATGAAGAGAACATTTTGCTTGACCCTTTTTCCACAAATCTGTCATTTTCCAGTTTGTGGAATATATACAGAAACGTTACGGGTTTTTAAAAAAAATTGTGGGACGTGGCTATGAGCAATTGGCCTTGACGTGGGCTTTGTAAACAACATTGCCGGTTTAATGTCAATTAGTCCGAATCAGGAATCAAACCCAGAATGGCTGAAGATCCTACAGAAGGACAAATCAGTGTCCAAAAGAGACAATTAGGCCGATATTTTCATTACATCCCTGATTAGAGCAGAAATGGTATATATATTTTTTGGGGTCAGCTGAGTACTGACACATGTGGAACACCATCACCATGCTTAACGCATCTCCAAATAAAACTGAGAATTCCAGGCCTCCCACCTACACATGACAATCCCAGAGATAGATTGTTGGAATGAAATGCGTTCTCTCTCTCTCTCTCTGGAGGGACACATCCTGCTTAGCTAATTCCGGACAGTATTAGGCGCAGGTTGAAATGGTAGACGATGGAAGTGAAATCTATAAGATAAAGGAATTCCTCCCTCCCAAACAGCGTTCTTTGCAAGTTGTTAATGGCACTCGCTAATGGCGATCAGTTTTAACGTCTTCCCAAGGTGCTTTTTTCTGAACTTTCAGCCTGACTCCTATACGCAGACTCTTCTACTGCTTCACTTCTGATAAAAGGGCCATTAACAAATTGCTAACCTATTGACCTCTACAAGCTAGTTGATCTAGTCTATTTCCAGTATTTCCTATTTTCTATTCGCAAATTGCCAGTGATCGGTTTGTTTTATTAGTGTCAGATTAAGGGCCGTTCTGCTCTCCCGGTCCAAACACACCAGGATCTCGATCGAGCGCCTTACTTGGATTTCTTAATTAAGAAATCCGTTGAGAAATACCTCAAAATCGATCCCTTCAATATCCTCGCAAGGGCTGCGGTAACTGATGTGCATCTGATTTACAACTATTACAATGGGGAGATATTTATTGTGACCTTTACTGCAGTACATGATGCCTTTGCAAACTGCTCAGGGTCAGGACATGGTCGTGGATTGAGTGGCCAAATTATTATTATTTTTGGTGACGCTCACTTCAGGAGGATCATGTTTAGAATTGAAATTAAAGAATAAGAAAGTTTAGTAAAAAGAGTTTTCAATGTGAAAGAATTCCACATAACAGTCTGCAGCTGCCAGTTTTTAAAGCCGAACACACTTAACTGAGCCATAAATCTGCACAATTAACTATTCTTACTCCAGAGGGTTGCTCTCAGGCCAATGACATTTGTTACTGTTACATCATCTGCAGCTTTGATAAGAGCAAATTATCTCGTGACTACCCAAACGCTTGTTTCTTTTATGCCTGTAGATTTTAACTGCACCATTTACATACAAATTGGACATGTTGGCAGACACAGAACTCTGTACTGGGACGTCATAAAACCCTGAATATTCAGTAAAGAGCCGGCCACAAAGACCACGAGATGAAAACGCTACCAGGGTTTAATAGTAAATAATTGTGCTAGCTAATTGAAGTGTTTAACCCGAATTCATTTCAGCCATTCAAATTAGAGAACGTTTGTCATTGGGATCTAATTTGCGGCGTTTATTATTGAGAGGTCAGAATTGTACAAACGTGGTCTCCTTCAGCTACAGTCCCGGCTTGACAGAAATCCAAACAGGATTCCTCACAGAGAAATCCCTATTGGGAAATGTCGGAAATAGACTCCATTGTATGAATTAGTAAATACAGTAATTCAGAAACCACCCGTGTATCAGGTCACCTCAATATCAACAGCCTTTAGTAGCTGCTAATTGCGGTTTGGAAACTCAACAGTTGAAAATGAATTGAATTTTTGTAAATGTTCAACGTTATTCCATTGTCGTACAATGTTTAGGTCACAGTGACCCGAGAACAAATTACTGGCACAGTTCAGAAATGTTCTGTCAATTATACCCCTCACGGCTCCTAGTGTTATGATTAGTTGGTTATTACTGTACGTCATACAGCACAATAAAGCTCCACACACTGGTGATCCGTTCAACAAATAACTCTTAGTCCAGCTCAGCCTTGTTCTAAATTGATTCTGCTTTGATGTAAAGAATGGAAATGCCAGAGAGTAGATTGGAAAAAGTCGAAAAGGAAGGTCTTTAGACACGGTCTGAAGATGGGGAAGGAAGGGGCAAGGCGGAGGGATAGAGCGAGAGGGTTCCAGAGTTTCGGGGCGTAGAGGTTGAAAGCACAGCCACCGAATAAGAATATTATCGTAAAAAAAATCACGCTGTTAGATTTACATACTGTAGACTAGATTGGGAATCCTCGTGCTAATAGTTAGCTCTAAACACAGTGGCCTTAATAGCTGATTGAATGGGCTGATAAGTGAACATTTGAAACCCAAGAGTAAGTGTTCAGCTACTCCTGTAATAGCTCAATGTGGTGTCTTTTAAAAAGTACTTTGCACTTGTCAGCAAAGATCTATTGTCGCACTTTCTCGCAGTTTAACCTTCAGGCTCAGGTGCCACATTACAAAATTAAACTAACATTCATCAAAGTGTGATAGTACTTGGCTTTTCAGGTTATTGACAAATCCTTTGTATAATTAGGTTATTTCTCACTGTCTGGGCTGATATTGAGCAGGTGTTCAAAGCTAAATCTTACTAAAACTACTCATTTTTCACGAGATAAATGGCCTTCAGAGTAAATCTTGACATAATAGGGCCACTCAGCAGTGAATCTATTGCACATCTTTCTCTCGCCGTGTTGTTATAATACATTTCTGAAGGTCAATAATGTTCCTTTTCGACTATAACATAGAAATTAGCTTTGTTGTGTCATTCAAATATCCTGCCCACAGTATGTATACTGTTATATTACTGTGACTATACTATGTTTACAACAACAACTTGTGTTTATATAGTGCCCTTCACACGGGGTAGTGTCCCGGAGCTCTTGATAGCGTCGGAGTCTAACCCTCAATCCACAACTGGAGTTGGTCGCTCAATCCACGACTGTTTGTGGGACAGACGCTGCTGTACGCAATTGGCCGCCGTGTTTCACCCACAAAATACACAGTCCATTCACTTTACAGTGTATCACGTGAAGCGCTTTGAGACGTCTCGAAGACGTGATGAGGCGCTGTATCAAGTGCCAGGATTATTATTGTTATTACTATTAACCATTCAACAAAACATGCTGTATATCAAAAGAAGTTTTGATTTTAAAACAAATGTCTGTTTTGTGTCCAGGCAAAAACGATATCTTTGGTGAAATGATTCATCTTTATGCCAAACCCGGAAAATCGAATGCAGATGTGCGTGCCCTGACTTACTGCGACTTGCATAAGATCCAGCGGGAAGACCTCTTAGAAGTCCTGGATATGTATCCGGAATTTTCCGACTACTTTTTAACCAACTTAGAACTCACGTTCAATCTAAGAGATGATGAGTCAAAGGTAAGGATGGCTTCACTGAGTTTCTTATTTGTAGCTCTCAGTTATTTGTCGCAACGGAAGAGAACGCAAATCAAAATAAAGGAGATATTCCCGTATTGGGGAGAAATCAAATGTGACCTATGAGATTGCTGTGGATGTTCAATCATTGTCGTCAGAGTTGTTCATCAGGAAGCTCTCTATGGATTTTATCCTCTTTGTGCTATTACCATCTAAACTTTTCATAAAGTCTATTCTGATGTATTTTACAGCATTTTCTTTGAATTCAGTTTAGCGTCTTCCCTGTTCGGAGGACGTCCCAAAGTGCTTCACAAGATTTATTGCAAAGTGGAGCGACTGTGTGTTTTGTGGGTGGGTGAACGTTGCAGCCAATTTGCACTACAGCAAGATCCGCAAACAGGGGTGAAGTGAATGATCAATTTTACACGGTTCAATGTCACACCACCTGAGCCATCAGAGGAGCTAAGCTTTGTTCTGTAAATGAATATGCATCACAATGATGCTGTATGATACCAGTGGACATGTACTTATCATCAGATATAATTCATGCAGTGATGGAGGTGCAGTTTTTAAACATCCATTTGAGATTCTGTACTTGTGATATCAATCTTGCTGGTCGCTACACAAAGCTGCGTTGCCAGTGGGACTTGGGGAAGGAATGTACATGTAGATGTAACTAAAAGGCACTTGTTATTCTATTTATCCAACAACTCATAGATGTTACATCGAGTCTTGTAAATGTGTCTCTCGTGCATCTGACTGTTGTGACAAAAATAAGATGAGGAAGTGACCTCAACTCTGGGGCAAAGAATAACTTCCCAACAGACAGGTATAAGTCATGAAGAAGCCATCTTCCAAGTAATACTTTCAGGAAACCTGTGTCTCACTGTGTAGCCGTCATTGTGTTTGGAAAATTCTATACCTTACTGTGCACAAAGGGTCTCTGATATTAAGTGGGAGGTGAAGGGTTGGCAGTCAAGTGATGATTGGTTGGCAGTCACGTTTCACCCACAAAATATATACAGTCAATCCATTTTACAGTGTATTCTGTGAAGCTCTTTGAGACGCCTTGCAGACGTGATATTGCAAGGAATATTATTATTATAATGCTGTTATATTACAATGGAATAGGTAACACATTTACATAGTGTTGTTTGGTGTTCCTCCTTTTGACAATTAATACATTATTCAGTTTGGGTTTTTTTGTGTTCTTTCAACCTTTGCTCCAGAAAACAATGAGTTTTTGTATTCATTTATAATGAATAATGTTTATCTGAAGTCACCCACTGCTCCCTGACAATCTAGGCAGATCTGCTGCTCACAGCACAGACAAGTGATGATTCAGATTCAGACAATCCTAGACCTCCAAGAAGAAAACTTTCCTTTAAGAAAACAACAGACAAAGGTAACTTATCTCTCGTGATACAACAACTACTACATGTAGCGTTTCGGGGCGGAGTCTGACCCCAAGCCAGGGGGAGAGGAAGGGGGGAGGTGACCGTAAGCACGATCAAAACGTAAGGTCTTCAGGTGGTATTTGAAAGTGGGGAGGAAGGGGGCGAGGCAGAGGATTGAGAGAGAGTTTCAGGGCGTAGTGGCTGATGGCACGGCTACTAATGATGGAGCGGAGGGGACGAGGGGCAAACAGGAGGCCAGAGCCAGCCGAGCGGAGGTAGTGAGTGGTGGAGTAGGGGGTAAGCAAATCGAGAGGTAATTATACAGTAGAATTATAGGTGATTATACAATGTGGGCCTTGAAATCTGAATCAAATACAAGCAAGGAATTTCAATTTAAACATTATAATTCAATGCTGTTCATCCTGCCGGAGTTTATCTATTGTTGGAGAAATGAGTTGCTTGTTTAGTCACGATTTCCATTTTGATTGTGATACTGTACAGACAATGACTACACCTTTATCATGGGATTAAATCTTATTGTCCACTATCTACATATTGAAGGCGATGTATAAAGGTTAAGGTTAGTTTGGGATGTATTAGAAACAATGTGTGGGCTAAATATTTGGTTGATTTTCCAAGCTGAGACCAGTGAGCCTTGTTGTATTAATACTGTATTTGCTGTCACAGATGATGAGGAAAAAGACAACTCCAGGAACCGTGGAGCATCGCAAGAGAACTCAAGAGGCAACCGCAAACAATTTCATTCCAAAAAGCGGGATTCGGAAGAGAAACAAAGTGTTTCCTCATCACTCTCTGGCTCAGTGGACGAGGAGAAGAAACCGCTATGTTCTGGTATATTGGACTATCCCACAGAGATAGAGCAGAGCTGTAGGCTGGTGTTTGCAGAAGGACCCGAACTACAAAATAGAAAAACTGAAAGGAGAGGTAGGTTACCAGGTGAGATACATGATTCAGGAAACCTGCCGTCAGTCAGTATCATCCTCGAGGCTGAATATTACACAGTAGTCCATATTGCATCATATATGACTAAAGATGTCATGCAATTAGCTTCCTGGGAAAACCAATCTTTTTAAAAAAAAGTCAAACAGAACAAAACAGTGGTCACCTGTTTCCCCAAGTGTGCGGTTCTCAGGACTGTGTTCTCACCACAAGCCTCTCTCAATCTTATGGGAGGAATTTAGTTATAACATATTTAGTCTATACATTAATTGGGATGCTGAGAAATGCACACATTAAAGGCTACAGGTCTTAAAATAGATAACATGTGGATAAATAATGATCTGTGTTATCGAATGTTTATGTGCTTATTTGAAAGCACAATGCATTTATGAAAACCATCAAATTCCAGTGGAATTCAACTTGGAATAAAGAAACTCTGGGTGAAAATGCAGTGTTTCAATAACAGATCTGAAGTGATGATTACCACATAGAATGTGGTTTGACCCATTGCATTTTTGTACCGGATTGTGATAACAGAAAATGTGTTGTTTTAGGGATCTTTTCAGATGTCAGTGATGGACTGAAAGAGTGGGAGAGCGGGAAGCCAGCCGAATACCCTGATATGTCCACACAGTCAGCCTCTTCTCACGCAGCACGGGGTGTCTCGGAGACGGAGAGTGATATAACCTATGGAGATGTGGAGCACAGACTAGATGTACTTCAGGAACAACTCAACAGGTATATCCATCCCACGAATGGGAAAAGGCACGTTGAGGAACAAGGTTCCAGTGGGTACATAATAATAACAATAATACCTGCCTTATCACATCGTTGAGACGTCCCAAAATGCTTCACAGAATACACTGTGAAGTGGATTGACTGTGTATTTCGTGGACAAAACGCGGCAACAAATAATTGGTGTAGAGTATATAAAACAGTGACAATTGAATGTGAATCTTCCCCAATGTTTCTAGGCTGGAAACGCAAATGACGACTGATATCCACACCATCTTGCAGTTGCTGCAAAGGCATTCCCTGTCGGGACCTCCTGCTTACAGCACGGTAACAGCCACAACAGACTACCGCAGACCAAACACCAGGGTCATCCAAACAATTCAACCAGTAACTTCGAGAACCACAGATCACTGCTTCACATCAACACCACAGGTAAAGAGACATCATTGTGCCTAGTCCTGGACAAACCTTCTTTAAACCCGGCGGTGATGTACTCGATCTAGTCAACAGAGGCAAAATGGAGACATTCTGATGAACCACCTCACTAGTTTCAGCCTAGAATCTGCCGGATTATTTACTGAAATCTCATTCATACTAAACCCATCTCTTTCCAAAAATCCTACTCCAGATTTCTGCTTCCTTTTTTCCCCTTTTAGAATCCACAATTTTTAGACTTTGAAAAACCCAACCTGAAATCCAAAGAATCACTTTCCAGTGGGGTTCACCCGAACACAGCGTCAGAAGACAATTTCGCCAGCTTTTTGGACCAGGAACAAGAACAGAAATCACGGTTCCAACAACAAGAACAATCCAAATCTTACCTGCATCCAACCAGATATCCTTCCCTCCCAAGCTCTTCAGTGAGCACCATGGGACAGCTGGGTATCCACAGACATTTGTCTGATCCTGGGCTTCCTGGCAAATAGCCAATTGATCCTGTTGCGGTTCAGTAGATTTTCTGCTTTCAGTAGCTTTACGAATAGCATCCTCCATATTTGACTCAGGGGTCTACAATGATACTGTCCATATGCAAAAGCACTGTAGATTCACATCAGCTCTGAGCTCACAATGTTTGAAGTTCCTCTTTGATGAAAATGAAAGCTTCGTTAAGAATAGAGTATGTTTAAAAACGTCACACTGCCAGTAATCTAAGGCACCTTAATTGATAGTAAACCTTTAAAAAAATGCATGCTGTTACATTTGGTTTCTGTGTTGCATGAATTTAGTTTGAATTCATGGGGGATTGGGGTGGGTGGGAGAGAGAGAGAGAGAAAATGGTGACTGTCCACCCAAGTCTGGTCAGATGGAGGCTGGCAGTTCTGGTCTGAACTAGATATAATTACTTGAACTAAACAGCTATTGCAAGCACATTGAGCACAAGGCTCTTCTAATAAGCAGGAACTGTACATTTTGTGCTTAAAATAGCAGCTTGACCATTCACTAATCTTACTTTCTCACTTTTTTTTATTTTTCCTCCAATACTTGCTATTCTATGAAGGGATGGGAAAATACAATTGAATCTTCATAATGAAGAACAATGAAAATCTGAACTGCATTACGGAAATATAGTAATATAGTTGTGGCCTGAAATACAAATGTTCAACTCATCTCTCGACTTCAGAGTGAGTTGACAGGCTCACTTTAACACTGTTTATTGAACGTCCGTAAGTCTAAAATGCAATATGCATTTTTGTGTATCTGGCACTCGGCTCACATGGTAACATTTCTGTGCTTATTAAGTCCACACCTGATGCATATTCACAATTCCTTAATTCAATTGACGAGACATTGAGTGAGGCAATTTAATTAATTTAACCGGATTCAAATGAATTTGTTCTTTCAAATTCAGTTTTCAATTAATACCATTTAGTCTTAGGAACATTGACGGATAGGAGAGGCACATTTCTTTTTGATTTCAAAAGGCCAAGTTTAAAATGATGGAAAATACAAAACACTCCATAAATCTATTAACATATCGAAACCATTAATTGAGGTGTACGTAAAACATGGGCCAGTCTTGAAATTATTGCTACAAGCCAACAAAAAAGAAAAACAGCTTTTTCATAGATCATTATTCAAACATCCAAAGCAATTTGACTAGACCATACTTAACCTTAAACATAAACTAAATAAAAGTGCATCCCAGTGCCGAAATTGCATCAAGTTAAATAATGTTCTAATCCCCATATATTTTCATTGGCTGTTAACATAAATACAGTGCTAATGTGTAAGCGGTCACTGTGTAGTTGTGAATACAATACAATACAAAATGGATAACTGAGGAGTACAGAATCATATACGGTATAAGACCTGACAATACACTCTGAATCAATTCATTTTGCGAATTTGTTCATAATACTAGTATAATTGTCCAGAATGTTTAGATTTAAATGATGTTTCAATGCTACATCTAGTACATTTGAGGACATTTATCAGTATTGAGGGCGCTCTATTATTCCACATAATAAATGAGTAAGTAACTTACTTTTATATTTTATCACAAAACAGTGTCTGCAGTATATGAGCCACTGTAGTTAAAGGTGTTTACATACTCATGAAAAACATATATAGCAAACCTTTTATCATTGCCCATTGTATCAAACACGATTGCATCATTTGCATGTGGCATCATAATGAAATTAATGCACGACTCTTCTCATTCACCAAACAGGTTTTGCTAAATGCTTTTTGTGAAAATAGAGCCTCTTAATTTAGGAACCCAAAGCAGTAAAGACCATTTTGATTTCACACACCAGCTGAACACAAATGTTAAATAGACAGGATCTTTGAGTTTTACACCATGTGCAGATTGCCATCTTAAACCTTTCTTGCAATCTTTTAAGGACCTTTCTCAATTGGTCTGCTCGACTACATTTCCCCCACAAAATACACAATCACTACATTTTAAAGTATATTCTGTGAAGCGCTTTAAGACGTCTCAAGGATGTGATAAGTCGCTATATCAAATGCAAGGATTATTAATGGCTTGCTACCATGTGATCCCAACCAGATGTACTCAAATTTGTACTGCAGATTTGTCATTTTTTGTGACATGTTCATAAAATATTTTGTGAAGGAACAATATCCCCGATCTGCATTATTTTATTTTACTTATTTTATTTTGGAGTGAAAAACTATTTAATGCAAAATGTGTCGCTTGTTGCTTGTTTCTTGCTGTAAAACAGTCAAACTTTCAATTTGCACAATTTCAATTTTTACTCGGAAATTTTTGCAAATATTGTAAATAATCATACGTTGATGAAATATAATAGTGCAGAAAGGAATGACATTTGGTTGTGGGGGGGGGGGGCGGCGGGGGGGGGGGGGGGAGAATAGTTTGATACCATACACAAGAATTAGAAGATGTAGAATGTTTGTAAAAAAAACAAAAAATAAAAAAAATTGCTACAGCAAGAACCAGAGTCCAGTTCTTGAAAGCATCCGTACAAGTAGGCATTACGTTGTTCTTGTTGGTAATATAAGAGCTTAACAGGTATGGTTGTCTTTTAAATATGCCTTTGTCGAAAATACTGGACTGTATATTTTAGCACAAAATTTCATACCGGTATAGTTTTAGACAGTTTCCAAACACTCACGTTTACTGTAAGACAAAAAAGTGCAAAGTGATGTTCTCTCAAACGTTCATAACTTGGGCTTTTTGCGCGTTAGCAAAATGCCCCTTTCATCTTCTGGTATTTATAAAATGGAAAATTCAACCTTCTGACAATTTTGTTCTGTGAAGTGTAAACGCATAACTATTTTTAAGCGTTTATAAAGCCACCCACTGTATACTAGGTTTTGTACAATGTAACACTATATACTATGCTTATTTTTGAATGTTTCCGGTTTGTTCACAGCTATACAATGTGCATCAATACCATTTGGAAAAATGACCTTTTATTATGTTAATGCTACAAATAAATGACATGAGTACAGATGAATGACAAGTTATAGATATATTTTTTAAAGATGAGAATCACTATTGTGTGGGAATTTATTTCGCTTAACGTAAGCTGTGAACCCAGAAAAATAATTGTGAGGTTAAAATGGTTGTCAACCCAAACACTAGGATGTTTATCTGATGTGTGATCCTGAGAGGGCAGCACGACGGGGATAAGGGGTACATTGTTTGCAGTTCATACCGCAAATTTCTCTTGAAGACAAAAATACACCTGGATCTGAATATTTGTAATTTTATTTTATTGCAATGACAATGTATCCAGCATTAACTAGAAAGGAAAAGATTCTCATTACATGGTGAAAAAGCAGTATGAAAATGTGGAAAAAATATAAAATTGATTTTTTAAAAAAACTGCAAATGGAAGTGCCAGTCAAATGCAAAGTGACGTTTTGTTCACAAAATTGATTCATATTAATTTGGTTACATCATACACTACAGTAATAGTTGGCATCTAAAAACCTAAAACGTTTGTAATAAACTACACAAAATTCCTAGAGGTGCAACAGCAGCAAAGCTATTTACCTGTAAACTAATATGGTGCAAGCTAGTAAAAGCAATTTGGCAAGTGACAGCATAACAAATTGTGTACACATCATAAAATCCCACTTCCTTTTTTATTTTACATAAAAAAAGAAAAATGTACAAAACGACTAAACGAGTATGCAGTTTGAGCAGGTTCCGTCTCTCCTCAGAGCAATATAAATCACTGGTTTCAATCCATCATCAGTCTCTGAATAGCGGCTGCCACTTGGTGCTTAAATGGACATGGTGCATTGGATAAACTACAACAGGGAAACAGGATAAAACAATTAACACTCTACACAAACAATTACTTTAGCAGTAAGGCTACTTTGAAAACCAGCAAAATAGATCATGTTATACTAATTTAGATAATTTCTGTTTATAGTATGATTATGTTCTAAACTTTTATATGACTCTTGGGAAACAGTCAAACTTGCTTTTGTAACAGTTTTATGAAATATATTGGTAAAATATATAGAGATGTTCATAATGCTGTGTTAGATTTAGTCCTGCGACAAAACTTCAAAGAAATTAACATTAGAACTGGTGCCAACTTTGTTAACCCACCCATTTCTAGCTTGCATAACCCATTCAGTTTAGAAACAGATGTATTGCAATAAAACTTCAACGTTAGACTTCAGTTTACTTACATCATCATAGCCAAAATTCACATAGCCTTGCTGCAGACTGTCTCTTCGTCTGAAAGCATCTGTAACAAAGAAAATGTTTAATTTCTAATAAAACAAACATTTTCTACTTGGGTTGAAGAAAACGACCCGTTGACACATGCGCACTTCTGAATTGCATTGAATCATGAGAAAGGTTGTTGGTGATCCATGCACACAAGAACTTAATTGCCCGCAAACCAATGCTTGAGCATTCAGCGACAGGTCAAGATGCTTTGAATCACAGGAAACCCAGTCTTGACCCATCACCGCATGCTCACTTACTGCACTGAATTACACATGCAGTGTAGCTTGATTAAACACGCCTAACACAAGTTTGCCTGCAACTCTGATTTGCGCAAGTGTTATGGTCCTGACTGATACGACTTGAGTTTTACCCTATTAGTAAAATGTCAACTTCTGCAACTGCCATTAAAAATTACAATTAGAACCAAGTATTTCTAGAAAGATACAAACAGTAAAACATACCTGTAACTGCTCTTAATTTCACACAGCAGGCAACATAGTCATCAAAATAAGTCTTTCCGTCCTTGCAGTAGCGTTTTATAATCCCACTGATAGCTTGAGGACTTAGCCGGTATCCTAGCAAGCCCCAAAATAAACAGTTTTCAGTATGCAGCTGAGACTGGTCTCAATCATATAGAGCATTTCAGAGACTACAACAGTTACCACAGAAAATACACGTACATTAGATTTAGTTTATAGACGAAGATTTTGAAAAATAATTCTACTCAAGATGTTTGGATTAGTTTTAATATAAAGTTTATACTAGTAATTCATTTCTAAGTTTATGAACTTTTCTTCCCCCCCACCCCAATATTCTCTCTCTTTTCCATTTTAACATCCTGAATATTTAAGAAAGCCAACTGTTCCACTTACCCATTGATACGATCGCTTGGCCAAGCTCCAGAGGCTCCACAGTCCCACTCTTGTCCTGGTCGTACATCATGAAGTTCTGTTTCCAACCGTTCAACGCTACCCACAGCTCTTTGAACTCATTGAAGCCCATTTTCCCAGTCATATCTCTCTGAAATGCTCAGGTTAAGAATACTTTTTTGTTGCTTGTGTATAATTAACAGCTGCAATTATTTTCCCCAAATTTGTTTTCAGGCAGTGCAACACTAGATTGTGCACAATACTATATCTCCTAACCCAAGGTAATATGAATTTGAATCAACATAAGTAACTATTGGAAGTTTTTTAAATTAGTTTGCAAGTATGTGCCCATAAAATACCTCTATTGTTGTTTTCAGGTTCTATTTAAAAACATCTGCATAATATAAAATAGAATGGTATTTTAGATGAAAATCATTTCCAATATTTTCCTGCTCCTCCTAAAAATGTTCATTCTGATCGCTGATAACTCCATTGGATCCTTATTTGAACATTTTTTATTTTATCAACAGACAACATTCAATAACATTCCTAAACTAAAGATTGTAATTTGCTGGTTAGACCCCAGTAGTTACCCCAACCCAACACTATGGGCTCCCCCCAAGCTTTAGCTCTTGCCAACCTGTGCCTAATACTCTCCGGAATTAGGTAAGCAGGGTGGGCCCCTCCGAGAGAGAGAGAGAGAGCACATTCCATTCCAACAATCTATCTCTGGGATTTCCATGTGTAGGTGGGAAGCATGGAAATCTCAGTTTGGTTTGGATACTCATGTGTCTGACACCCGGCTGACAAAAAAAATACTATTAGGATACATCCAACATGGCGATCATGATTCTGCAGGTCTCTAAACTGAAAGCTGAAAAATAATGTCACAGAATTATTAAAAAAAACAATTAACAGCATGTAGAACATTCAAACAGTGATGCGCACTTTTCCAACCTAGTCAACAGATTTGGACACCCCAAGACTAGTAAATAGAATACAATCCTGGTCAAGCCAATGCTTTCAACTACATTGAAGTAAATTAATTCAGTTTGTAAAAGTATTAAAAAGTTATCGATTTTACTGTCAGTTCATAGTGTATAAAAGTTTACAAGGGATTGAAAAAGTAAATCCAGAACAATACTTTAGGATGCACAAGCCAGTAGAATAAGAGGACATAGATTTAGAATTATCAAGGGCAACTTCAGGACAGGTAACAGGAAGTTTTTGTTTCCTCGGAGGTAACAACTGGAACAGGTTGCCAGGGAGGGAGATTGAGGCCAAGACTCTGGACTCATTTAAAAAGCAGTTTGATGCCAAGATGGAAGTTCTGGAGGGAGGAGATCAGAGATCAGCCTTCTTCATCCTAATTCATCTGCTCATCTCAACATGTGTGGCTAAGTGTGGAGTATGATAGCTTTGGTAAGTTGTGTAATGACTTTAAAACTATTATTGCGCTGTGCACAATTGGCTGCTGCGTTTCGTCCACAAAATACAGTCAATTCACTTTACAGTATATCCTGTGAATTGCTTTGAGATGTCGTGACAATGTGATAAGACGCTATATCAAATGCAAGGATTATTACTAAAAAACAATCTTTCACCCGACATCTCAAACACTGAAGATCATCATCATAACCAGAGGTCCACCTCAAATGCATAAAACACAAAGCAGAACACGTTGCTCATAAACTAACGTGTTAAAAGTTCCATTGTACTTGGAAATAACTCATCCACAACATACCATTTAAACTAAGCACCTGCAAGACAAGTAATAGAAACTGTTCTTACGTTTGTATGTCCCATGTACCCCAGTCTGTGTTAAACACCTTTGCAGTTCTTCAGCATCCACCTCTCCATCCTGTAAAACAAATAACTCTGGTTTATTGGCATTGCATGAGAAATGGATTGAATACACAACTTACAGTGCAAAATATAAAAATGCAAACATTTAATTTTACAAAAGGGAAACAGATTTATAACTTTCTTAGTACTAACATCTCAACTCTGGCAAAATATTTAAGTAGCAATTAAAGCCATTAAAATTTCAATCTAGAAAATGTAAGTGGCATGTGTCACAACTTCAAATAAACAAAACACACTACGATCTTCCCGATTCAGTTAAGAAGTCTATCCAATCTGTAGGATTTGCTACACGAGGGCACGATTGAAAGATTCATATCCCTGGAAAGTATTGCATTGGAGAGTGTACTTCCTCTAGTTGCCAAAGTCTCCAGACCAAAGCTTAAGTGCATTTTAAAAATAGAATATTAAGTTTTAACTAAAAAATATTTGTACAAGGGGCCATCAATTGTGCTTATAACAGAAAAGCCAATATAGTATTTCCCTCTAAATATTGAAGGACTTCAGTTTAATGAATTCTGAACGCTTCATTCCCCTACAACAACTTCAGCTAAAAGTCGGTTACCCCTGTCCAGTGGAGTATATGCAAAGTGACATTTGCAACACTTCTCTTGAAGCAAACAAATTTACTTTTAAAGATAAACAAGTTCAAACGTAGCCTATACATGAAAATCACGTTGATCAGGTCCATGTAACCTTATCTCTAGTTGGCACGATAGCAAATTGTTGTATAGATTGTTCCACATTCCATCCCCAAGTATTTAGAAATGTTTTTAATAGTTGAAAAATGCTGTTTTGCGCGCACTTACCCCTCCTCCGGCTGTGGAACGACACGCAATGAAGTCAAACGATACTGTCTGCCACGCATCTGTTTGAGGCTGGAACATGGAGGGCAAGCGCAAGCTTTCCTCATTCCATGGGGTCCATAGCTTATTAATTGTGGGTAAAGCTAAACTTCAAATAGAACGAAACAACCAATGCAACTTCTGTTGGGTTGCGTTAAATAGGGTGGTGGTCTTACGTTAAACAGTGGTCATTAGCCAAAGGCAAAATGCCAAAAATCGCAAGGCAAGGAAAAGTGCGACTACGGAGCAGACAGATTATAGGGAATTCCCAGCTACAAATATGAATAAAAACAACCTGGATGTTCCTGTATATGCTGAGGAGCATCTTAGATTATTGTTGTACTGAACTATCTTTCACCTTTTAAAATGTAGCACTTGTGCAGGACACTAATGTGATGATTGGAACTAGAACATTTATTTTGAAATCAGTTCATGAATTGGTTTGAAAAATAACATCATTCATTGGGATGGGCAGAAATTGTGCTCTTACCAGTAAGCGGCACAAGTCAAACAATGTGTGTCAAAGTAGATTGCCCTACTTTATATATGTTGATTCACTTGACAACTGTGTGGCTTATCATGATGCCAAAAAAAAACTGCTGTTTGGGGGAACACAAGCCCACCAAAAAAGAATAGATCTGTTCTAAAGTTCACACACACTGAAAAAAAGTAAGGACATACCTGCCGACAGTCCCCAAAGCCAATATGATGCTAAAAACATACCTGTACCACACAAAAGCTTCAAATGACTTTCTTTTAACAAAAATAAATGAGCATGCTTTATTAGCAGTCTGTCACAGAAAGTCACTTTAGAGCATAGTTTTCTATGGGGTAGAGCGAGTGGTTGCTATTGAGCTTAACCACAGTATTTCTAGGCAAAACTATCACATTACCATTCAATCACAACATTACTCCGTCTCATCTCCGATATCATCTCAGAGTAGCCTAAGGAAAAGGGGAAGTTAAAAAAAAAACTTTAAAATCACAGCTTCACCTTTTGATGTTGAAAATGATCAGATTTCCATGTCTCATGTAAGCTACTAAATCTCAAAAGTCTGTGAAAGTTCGAAGGGGAGACAATTCTACAGTATGTCAAAGGAGCTACATGCTTAAATCTGGCCCAAGGCTTAAGATGAATAATATACCTGGAATGTTCAGCCTTGGCATTTCCAGCAACAGAACAACTTTTAGAAATCAAGATTTTATTTTTTTTAAAACTATAGATTAGTGCAGTGCAATACCAAATGCATGATGGAATAGTCTCAATTTGGAATCAGTTTCAAAATGATAGTCCTGGCAACAAGAGGTCAGGATAAGGCATGAAAATAGTTTAAATGGGGCCTGCCTGAATTACTAAACTTTTAGTAATATTACGGCACGTAGCTCCTTCTCAAAATAACCGAAAAAACTCACATGGTACTGTACACTTATTGGGTACAATTTCCATTTGAATACGTAGGTTACAGATATACAGGGAGTAAATCTGCCACCCCACAACTTTCAATTTTCTCCAGACAATAGACATTCCACATAATATCTGTGAAATCACTTTCATACTGGAGGAGCCATTTTCTCCACCAAACAGGCCTAACGGCTGAAGTCCTGGGTGAGGACAGGATTCCAGGTAGGACTAGTGGGAGAGACCATGGTTTAAAACAGAGGAAATCAACTTCTAATAACGCCAAAAAAGCATTAAAAAATATAGTGGACTATTCGGGAAACCTGCTCATTCATCTACTCCGTCAGCAACTCTCTACCGTTGAGAGGTCAGAGGTTTATAGCTAATACTAGCTCATACCCACCATGCCATATTTAAAAATATTACCAACATTGGAAATATAATTGGAAAAAAAACTCTGCATTATAGATTTATAGCAGAGAGCTAAGTAATGCTAATTTCACTATATTACTAAAAGCCACCCCTTCCTCCAAATTTTCCAGTGTAGTACTAGAGACCATTGCATTGTTGTAAGTATCAACCTTCGGATGTTAAATCAAACCAAGACCCAATCTACCTGTTCAGGTACACGTTAAAGATTCCACCCCCGGAGATCACTGCAATGTTGGAGGTACCATCCTTTGGATGATAAATCAAACAAGGTCCGCCTACCTGTTCAGGTTCACGTTAAAGATTCCATATTAGTATTTGAAAGAGAAGCTCTCGGAGTTCTGCCCAACAATCCAGATAAATTGGTTATTCACTTTATGGTGGTTTGTGCTCAAATTAGCTACTATGTTTGCCTACAAATAGTCACTACACCTCAGAATAATTTTCTGTGAATTCCTTTGAGACATTAGCATTCTAGATACTGCATCAAATCCAAGGATTATTTTCCCAAACTGTTATTTACGGGCAAATTGGAACAAAATTGTCTCAATTTCAAAGGCATACTTTGTTTGAATTATCCATTGTGTAACTGAACTAACTTTCACAAAACACAAGTGACATTTTTTTAAAAAAGTTTCCACTCATATTAAAATGCTACTTTTAGCAAGATTTTCTTGCTTCTACGTAATTTAGATAGCAATTCACTAATAAAACATGCCCTGACTCACCAATTCTAAGCGAAGAACATGAATACTATTCTGCACTAACTACAGTTCATTAAGTTTGACGCAAATATTTGTCACAAGTTTCAAAATGTCTCTACCCAATTCCAAAATATTTTCTGTTCCTCCGTCTATAGTTCTGAGTTTACCTCCATTTCTGTGCCTTTTATCTTCTTCCCCTTCCCCATTATTCTTTGAAGTCAGGTACTGTGCATAAAGTCAGTGAATGCAGGTAGGCAGGCCAAGGCTCGAATCAGGATTCAATGGCAACTCCATCTAGGAGTTTGTAAGATCTTAGTTCTTTCCTAATTTTACCACAAAGAGATTTAAAAAACACCTGTAAGGCATTTCTTGCTAAAATATCTTGTTAATTAAGTGAGGGATAAAATACTGCTGAAAAGTGTTGTGTGATACAACTTAAGCAATAAATTCTGGAGAAAGGCTGTTAATTGAAGTTTTATGCTCAAGGTGAGGAACAAATGTTGACTTGATTATTTTTCCACTCACACCAAATGGTAGCAGCATGTTAAATATAGTTTATAGGTTCAACACATCTTCCCAGATTAGATATAATTCTACCTATACTACCTCAGAGGACTGTGTACATAATCAACACTGACATTTATTCAGAAGGTGTGCCTCTATATCAGTACGTATTGCTCCCAATGAGGATTTTTTTTAACAGATTGCCAAAATAAAATTTAAGTGAGTCAATCAACAGTAAATGTGATATGCTATTGACTTACAAATCGAATGAATCAGTCATATAAAAGGATAGGATGCATCTATCAATCGACAAAACAAAAGAGTAAATCTTTAAAGCACACAACAGCTTGTCTACCCATAAAGGTTCACTTACTTTCAACTAGTGAGAAGGGAAATGCTTCTCTGAAACAGACATAGCTTTCTTTGCAACTCCAGTCTTGTTTACATTGCCACATTAGTATTCTCACTATAAATATTACACCATCTGAATATAACCATTCCTGAAGTTGTCTGACTCCCTCTTCTACATTTCCCAAGTTGCTGGTTGCTTTCTGGTCCCTTGCTCAAAAAGTCACTATTCCCTCCCGACAGTGAGTACTATAAGGGATGGGGGAAGGGAGAAAAGGGGAGGCAAGCATCATAGTTAATCCAACCTTCACAGTACAACTACATATGTGCACCATATAATGGAGGAAACATTGGATAGCAGTCAAAAATTATGGCCAAATTTCTCTTCCACATGGGGCACTAACATTAATTGTTCCCCAGCTGGCATTAGCTGACTTGGCATAGAACGGAATTGAACCTGGAGCATTTCCCAGTCTGTATGGTTTTGATACAATCACTGATAATCTGAAAGTGCAAATATTAAAATTTTGTTTCTTTGTAGAGGGAAAAATATCAAGAACAAATGGTTTATATGACCAACGCAAATTGTCTGTTTTTTGTAAACCACTGGCCACAATATTTGTTCTTTACTAA